GTGAAATGGGAAGAATGGAGTGGAAGGGATATGAGGGAGTGCTACTTCTCTGAGTGTACCAGAGAGTGAGTGGGTGTATATTCTTAAAATTTTTTGGTATAGTTTTTACTTTTGGAAGCATGTTAGTGTTCTTCATATTTAAAAAAAACAATAAAAATGGGAAGGACAGAATAAATCTAAAACAGAAGCAAGCAAATGACTTAAATTATATTTCGAATGACTATTACAACCACATAGAAGAGGGGAGAAAAAAAAGAACTAAGCCAAATTACTTACTGTATCTGACTACCCTCAGTCCTGGGCAGGATGAGGCTCTGAGGAGAAAACTGCAAACAAATCCTAAACTCTTCTTGGTAGGTTTGTTTATTGTAGTGCTCTAGGCAAAGCAATTCTGAAACTATTAAGTTTTATTATAAGATTGAGCAAAGAAGTAAACGTGTTGATGTTGCTGGGAGCCAGGATGTTGCCGGGAGACATTCTTAACTCAATGAACAAGAAAAATGCCACTATGGAAAAGGAAGAAGGCAAGAAAGAACCCAGTGGGGAGAGACTGGAATGGTAGAATGGGAGGTGTGAAGTAATAATATCTAAAGTATGCACATATATGCAAATATGCATGTATAACTGTGCACGAGTGTGTGTGTGCGTGCGTGCGCATGTGCGCTTATGTATACATTTCATAAGCTTGTCTGCTGACAGGGCCAAGAAGCAAGGACGCCCAGTAACAAAGAGCTCACCTAGTACCCAAAGGAACTAAGCCTTCTTGGAGAAATGGTTGATTCCATGGCTGTAGCAGGGTAGGTACAAAATGAGCCTGGAACACCTTGTTAGGCCAAAATATAAGGAAGTGCTTAAAAAAAAAAAGGGAGCAAGTCACAAGTGCACAGAAGCCAGCTTGAAGAGGCTCCCACTGGCAAGTACATCCGTGAATTATAAACCTTTGAAAAAAGAGAAAATCATGATTCCATAATGTCAATAAGTAGACAGACAGGTAAGTAGATAGATAGATAGATAGATAGTTAGATAGGTAGAAAAAGAACAAATGAGGGTAAGCTCTTGCTTACAGTACAGTGTCCATGCTGAATGGTAAATATGGAGGAAATGTTGTGGTTGGAAAATCATTATTTTGCAACTATCATAGTGAAGATTAGATCAGGCAAGAATCATGACAAATGGGTACTAAACCTAGGGGGAAATGTTGATGATAAGCAAAATATTTTCATGATTTTAAAATGTCTATTTATTAGTTGCAAAGGGGAAAAAAACAGTGCATACTAGAGAAATTAGACAAAACCTTGAAGAGGTACATCACAATTACCACTGCTACTGAAGGACAGATGGACACTATGTGTCTCCAGATACAATATCCTGAGAAGGATGTAGAAAGATCTATGTAGTATTTCCACCAAGAATGCATACTCTGAATCTAATTATGAGGAAATACCAGAACATCACTTAAATATAAAATGAGAGGGATGCAATCTTCCGTATCTATATTATGTGAGTGAAAGAGAGAACACAAGAGAACAAATAAAGTAAAATGTTAAGGAAAGGTGATTCTAGATAAAAAGTTTAGGATACTCTTTGTACTATTTTTATTCCTATAACTTTTCTGTAGATTTGAAATTATTCCCAGACAAAAAGTTTCTTCTTTTTAAGTAATGTATGAACATATGCTCTTTGAAGAAAAAAAATCAAATAACATAGAAGTATATTGAAGGAAAAGTAAAAATGAAAATGAACTGTCAACCCCCCAATCTCACCTCTTCCCACTAGAAGCTAAGCTTCAAAGTCAGGATTTAAAAAATTTGTCTTTTCTATTCTGTTGCTTTAATGTGTTCTAAGCACCTAGACTAGTGCCAGGCATTAAATAGTTGCTGTATAAACTAGCTGCTACATCATTCATTTATCGGATGAATGAAGGAATGAATAGGTAAGTACACTTAACAGTGTGCTGTTCTCCTTACTTAATCTAGACATATGTATGTTAAAGTTTATTCTAAGTTTTTTAAGTAAATGGTATCATAATACTAAAAAATTCAAGCTGATTTCACTTCAATCATCATTGATAATTATCATTATCACTACTCCCAAAACTTGCTTCTCCATTATTACCATTTCTCTCTCTTTCACCCCCTAAATACAATACCTAAATCTTGTTGATAATACCTTTAAAAGCCTCTTGAATAATTCACTCCTCTATACTTCTCTTGCTATCACCTAGCACAGGCCACCCCATGTACATGTACCATCTAACGGGTCTTCTTCCTGGTCACCTTACTCCTTATCTTACTCTTCTCCAATTTATGCACAGTAATCTTCGAACTATAGCTTTGATTGTTTTCCCTGTCTTAAAATTTTCCAAGTGTCTCTTTGTAACCTGTAGAATAATTTCTAACTGATTAACATGGATCACAGCCTGCCTTCTGATTCTTTGTTCTGCCTTACCCTCTTCCTTTTGCATTCAAAGCTCAAAAATCATTCATCCACCCATTCACTTATTTCACACATATTAATATAGCATATATTTAACTTCTTTGAGTTTCTTGAATACACTATACTATACTCTTTTGCTTCTGGTACTTTGTGGCTGCAGTTCTGTCTCCAACTCCTGCCCCTGTATCCACCTTTCATTTAGCTAATTTTTACTCATGTCTCAAGTCTCAGTTTACATGTCACTTCCAAGAGGCTTTTCTGAACCATTTGTTTTTGGTTAAGTGTTCTGTGCCCCCACTATACGTTCTCACACCACCCTATTCTTATTCTTTCTCTGTTTATGTAACTGATTAATGTCTAGCTCCCTAATGGAATGCAAGATTCATGAGAAGCAGGGCATAAGAGAGGGATAAATATGGGAGAAAGGTCTGTGATGAAGCAAGATACAGAATAAAAGATGGCTACAGGTAACTATATCTCATGGAAACTGTCCCCTTCTTTATGCCCCTCCTACCTTCCCTAGTTCTGTCCCTCTTCATCACTCCTAGGCCACTTTCCCCACTACTACAACACAGATCTCGTTATCTGATTACATATATTCCAGTCAAGCGGCATCAATAGTTCTCCAATGATAGCAGGGCACTACCAAACTCCTTAAAAGACTACAAAATTCTTCTGGGCTTCCCTGGTGGCGCAGTGGTTGAGAGTCCACCTGCCGATGCAGGGGACACAGGTTCATGCCCTGGTCTGGGAAGATCCCACATGCCGCAGAGCGGCTGGGCCCGTGAGCCATGGCCACTGAACCTGTGCGTCCGGAGCCTGTGCTCTGCAACAGGAGAGGCCACAACAGTGAGAGGCCCACGTACCACAAAAAAAAAAAAAAAATTTCTTACTATTTTTCTAAAAAAAAAAGACCTTGCCCATCCCCATGACTTGTCACAGCTGATCCCCAGGTATAACACCTTGCATGTATAAATACATGTGCACACACAACAGGCTGCATTCCAGACATTTTCTGCTGCTTGCATTCTGAACAACTATCATTTTTCACAACTACTAAGCTCTGGGTGGTTGCTTCTGACTGTCAAGCACACTTAAAATAGACAAACTGGGCTTCAAATTCAGTTCCTCTTTGGAAACAACCCCTACTTCCTAAGTCAACAGCTTCCTTTTTTGTGTTCCCTTTCTGTGTATGTACAGAAGAGCTACCTCGTATGCATTTAGCTTTTTAAAATACTACAAATACCACACTTTTTAAATACTATAAAAACTTTGCTGAAAATTAAAGGAAAATAATTATATAAAAAGTGAGACTTCACCCCCCATCCTCCTCAATGAGCACCTTCTGTAGGGTGAGCCCAAGATGAGAGAAATGGTGAGGTGTTCCCTCAGTCAGTCTCAGTTCCCAACTGTATTTCACAATTACTGTCATTCTAGTGTGTAAAGATAAGTATCTATTACACACAGTGGCTCCTAAATGCACGCAAGCAACTTCATCAGGTTCACACCTAAAGAAGCAGTCAACAACTGGCAATATTAGACTTAATGGGCATTGTACAATACTTTATAGGCAATTTAAGGCCTTTCAGGGGGTATATTTGAATGTTCTAGATAAACTTTAGAATATTCTAAATAAAAACATTTTTATGTATTCTATTCATGTTTATTTTCACTAAGAGACTGAATCCCTAATGAACAATACAGTTGTTTTGTGCATGTTTATATATCAGGTCTCTAATACTATTTTATGGCATTTCATGAATGTATTTTTATTAAATGAATGAATTACCAGCAACTAAAAGCTCATATGTATTTGATTTAATAGCCCAATTTTTGTTGAGTCTTTTTTTTAACCCCCAGATTTCTGTACTCTTTCTATATGTACCTGATTCTGGACTCCAGTTTTCCTTCATCCAACTAATTCCTCCTCTATTCCAACATGACTTTCCCTATTGAGTGGAACCTTTATTGCCTCTTTTCCTCATTCCATTTGCATTGAAACTAGTCTATATCCATATAACTTTGTTTATCCAAACCTTTTAGGAAAGGTCTTAACACTCAGTGAGAATAGATCTGAGAATAGACGTTATAGCCACACTGTCAGACCACTGACCATTAGTCCCACAATTCTGCCAAAAACACTGTTTACAAATAGAATAACCCAGACTAAAACCAAAATATTTTCAGAATGCAAAAAGAAAATCAAGTTTACTAATCTCCCTCCCTCTCCCTCTCTCTCTCTCTCTCTCTCTCTCTCACACACACACACACACACACACACACACACACACACACAGAATTATTATTATGCAGCAGTTAAAAGGACCAAGCTCTTCAAGGAGATCTACAATAATGATTTCTTTGGGGGATGATAGTCTATTGTTTACATCTCTCTTAGCAAAGGAATGCGAATGCGAGCTATTGGTTGGGTATCACAAAGAACTTCATTAAACAGAACTGAAAATAATCATTTAGGATACAAACTGTTAAATGAAATTCTACTTTATTTTTTCAGTTTACTTGTCAAAGTACCTCCTGACTCATGGAATTAAACTGCTCAACACTTACCTTCGAGGATGATTGACATCAAACAATGTGTTATCATCATCTTCATCATCTTGTTCTAAAGGTGTCAATTCCATGTTTTCTATGTTAGTGTCCAAAACTCCGTATCTCCTAGTCTTTCGGTTTCTTCTTCTCATCCTATTAAATAGAACATATTAATGAATAAAAATTATTTGAATATGGTATAGATGATCTTTATACTTACTCGTAAACTAAAAATAAATTATCCCAGTTTCTGACATTGGAGGCATTCAATATCAGAATGGTTACATTTCAGAAACGAAACCAATTTACCACCTAGGATTATTAATTAAACAAAAGCTACTCCTGTATGTTTGTGTGCCATCACCATTTCTTCTGTCTGACATACCTTCTTCTCTTTCTGTCAACGTATAATGTTGACAGATAATCCCTCAAATCTTAGCTCTGGTACAATATTTTTACTGAAGGCTTATGTTCCAGCCTTTTTCCCCTCTCCTCCATGCCTTCTTACCACTGTGCAGTGTTAGGTACTTTCTGCCCCACTATGAAACTGTATGTATATATGCACTCAAATTCTAGACTAGGTAGCGTACACTCCTGGCTGCATATCAGAATCACCTAGGGTATTTTAAAAAGCTCCTTACTCGGGCCATATCGCCATACAATTAAATTATAATTTCCAGGCATAGGAACTACACATCAATAGCTTATTAATGTTCTACAAGTGTCTCCAATGTACTGAAAGCCACTATCCTAGATCAATGGTTCTTGAAGTGTGGTTCTCTGGATCAACAGAATCACAGTCATCTAGGGGCTTATTAGAAATGCAAATTCTCATGCCCACCCGGACCTAGTGAGTAAGAAACTTTGAATTTGGGGCCCAGAAACCAGTGTTTGAATAACGACTCCTTGTGAGTTTGATGCAAACTAAAGTTTGAGAACTACTGCTCTAGAGGAGAGAAAATATTTTAATATTTAACTATTATCTGTATATACATGAAGGCGTCTCATGATTTAGAACCCTACTGTCTCCTCTCTCAAATAACTTGTTCTTTTCCTTCAAATTATTTATCTCAATTTGCATATATGTGTGCTATGTATGTATTTATTTGAGTATTTATTTGCCTGTCTCTTCCACTGAGTTGCATGAGGGGAGAAGCCATGCCTATCATGTTCACCACTGTATTACTACTTTGTAGCACAGTGTCTGATTAAGATTCTCCTTAAATATTTGTTGAGGGTCTGAGTGACATCATATTCTAGTTCAGTGATCCAAATCTGACCCTGAAATCAATGCCTATATCACCTCCAATGTAACAACCTCAACTCTATACACAGAGAAAAATGTTTCACACAAGTATCTATGGGAGTTTAAAAACAAAACAGAAGATAGCAAGTAATAACAAATAAGTTTACTAAAATTCTGATTCACTTTGTATGAGGTAGTAAGTGTGATAAGAAATACTACAACTATAGCACCAAGTATAGAGCAATACGAGCCTCTGTAAAAATGATAGTGGGGACCGCTAGGAGACAAACTGTCCCGTGTGTGTATATATATTTGAGCCTTACTAAGAAATATTTGAGTCTTACTAAGCATCAGGCATTGTGCCAGCTTCTGGGTATAATGTACCTGGCTGAGTGATCAAAATTTACAAAATATTACTAACTTTAGGTAAAAACCGAGATAATTTCCACTAATTACTGCCTAAAAATCTATTCTATATGCCCACCCAAAGATGGTAGAAAAGGAAACCGAGGTTTAAGTATAGTATTTAGAGCTACAAATATAACCAGTGAAAGAGTTAATACTAATAACTGGCAAAAATGAGGTAGAACTGGTGATGGTATGAAGTATAAGCCTGTCTTTATATAGTGAAAAATTACATGTGTTTAGGTTGTTAAATTTACAAGTATATATATGTGTGCATGTTTCTATGCATTGAATATGTGTGTATGCTGATAAACATACACATACACACATACCTTATGTAGACCAGAAATCTAAACTTTTTTCTGTAAAGGATCAGACAGTAAATATTTTAGGCACTGTACATCACATATGGTCTCTGTCACACATTCATCTTAACTTCTTCAGTTATTATTTTGATTTTTTACAACGCTTTAAAAATGTAAGACACATTCTTGGCTCATAGGCCTTAGAAAAAACAGGTCCTCAGACTGGATATGGTCTATGGGTCAGTTTGCCAATCTCTGATTTAGACTTATGAAAGTAATTCACAGAAGAACTAAGAACAGAAATGAGAGAAGTACTGACACTGGAAGTAGGAATAGAAAGGTACAGGGGAATTATAGTTCACTATTGGTCTTTTTGAACCACATGATTTAATAACATTTGCATGCATTGCTTTGATTTTAAAAAGTGAATACATAAGAATGAGTGAAGCCACTTGGCAGCTTAAGTTAAGAATATTCAGAGTCATAATTTCTTCTCTTCCCTTTTGCCAGTCTGTTGCTCAACTTTCTAAACCATATGGCTTCCAAACATTCTGGCATTTTCAGTCATGTGAAATTATTTTTGGAAATAAACTAGATTCTTTCAAGTCACATATTACATATCAAATTTAGTCAATATGTTAATAACCAGGTCATTGTCACTCACAGGATACCTTGCCAAGTCTTTAAAAAGGAAATGATATGAACATAGAGTTTAAGGACTTTTGACACTTATCTCAGCTGACACTCTTCTCCACTTCCAAGGTCATCATCATACCTTGAATGATTTTCCAATCTTTCAATGAGTGGCTAATCTAATCTGCCCAATAACACTGTTTTCTCTTTCTGTTTAAACATTTGACTACATTGGTGTGAGCACTTTATCATTTATTTCAGCTTCTACTGTCTTTTAACGTGTATATAAATACCACCTTCTGAATCCAAACTCTTTAATAAGAACCTACTTCATATGCAAAGAATGTGTACTCTCAGGCACCAAATAAATAGGGGAATGCAGTTCAGTTAAAATGAATTTAGTATTTTAGTAAACGTCACTAATTCATACAAGAATAAGTCAAATAAAAAACTATATATTGTTAAACAGAATTTAAACTTGAAATGCAACGTCCCTAAGAATGTCTTTCCTAAGTCCAGGGATATAGGCGGTGATGGCTGCATGGTCATGACAGCTTTATGGTCATAAAAACATCAAATATAATAAAACACATCCATATGCAGTGATTTTTCTCAGGGAAAGCCAGAAACACTTATAAAGCTTTCAAATTATTGGGCTGATTCAATGAACCGCCTACTTAAAATACTAATAAATATGAAGTGAAAAATACAATACACATAAAAATATACTGAAACTTTAAGTAAAAAGGCTACTTCCATTTTTTAATATGCAGTATACATTATTTTTAAACAAAAGAGAGGAGGATTTAAAATTCATGTAATTTTAACAGCTGTGGCTCTTTTCCTACAAATTAATGTTTTCATTAAGCTCATGATGCCCAATTTGTCCAAGTATGTTAATAACTACATACATATAATCATAGATATGCACAGTTTTCTACCAGACATAGTAAACGCATAACTGCAACCTGAAAAAATATTTTGTTGGCTCTTCAGTTAAAAAAATTGAGACTTTATCTATAAATGTGTAGACAGGAAAATATGGAAGCCTAAGAAGGCAAAAGAAAATAGCAATATGGTTTATTATTATATTGAATTATATTCATTCATCACATGGCAATCACAGGTAAATGATCTTGATCAGATACCTTCCAGGTATTCAAGTTATTATTCAAATAGCTATCTAAAATAGATGCAGATTCCTCTATGTTCCATTATACTCAGGTTGGTAAGAATTATTTCTGTTTAAATAACATGTAAAAGCTACAGTAGAAAAATAAAACTAAACTACTAAGTAAGGTTGATAAAATTTTATGTAAAAATGTATGGTGCCACATAAAATAAACACAACAGAATAAAACTCCATTTCATTTTACTACTCTGTGAAAGGGAGAAAACCAATCAATGTAACCTGCTGTAACTTGCTGTACTGATCTGATTTTCTTGTTTTAACTGAATGCCTGTAGGGTATTATTAAGTAAGGAATTATATAAGTAATATTATTTCTTAATTTCTTCTATTGCACATTCAAAACTGACTGAGGAATATAGTATTTAGTGTATATTTTAAAGACATACACTCTCCTATATGACAAGGCACAATGATAAAGCAGAGTAAATCTTAATAAAGGTATGACTAATGATACAGAATTTGTTTGCCTTGACTTCTTTTGGCAAGAAAAGTGAATTACTGACCAAGAATGGTTTGGGAACTCATTTTTTTTTGTACTGAGACATAACTAAATAAAAATTGGTGAGCCACAATTTTAGTTGTCTATGATTTTCATGAAGAAATTCAACCCAATATATAACACACAGTAAAAATTATTTTATCTGAAATCTCTCTCATCTTCATCTCCCATTCACCAAACCTAATCCATCACTGAAATGTCACATTTTTCAAGAAGCAGACACCAGTAAGAGATGAGTATGTTATGAGTTGAATTGTGTCCCCTGAAAATTCATATGTTGAAATCCTAATCCTTAGTTGCTCAGAATGTGATGTTGTTTGAAAACAGGGTCTTCACAGAGTCAGTCAAGTTAAAATGAAGTCATCAGAATGAGCCCTACTCCAACATGACCAGTGTCCTTATAAAAAGATGAAATTTGGAGACAGATATGGATACAGAGAGAACACCAAGTGATCATGAAGATGGCCCATCTAAAAGCCAAGGAGAGAGACCTGGAACAGAACCTTCTCTGTATTAGTCTGCTCAGTTTGTCATAACAAAATACCATAGTCTTGATGGCTTAAACAACAGAAATTTATTTATCACCATTCTTGCGGCTGGGAAGTCTAAGATAAAGGTACCTGCAAGATAGGTTTCATTCTGAGGCGTCTTCCCTTGGCTTGTAGGCAGCTGTCATTTCACTGTGTGCTCACATGATCTCTTCTTCGGGTGTAAAGGAAGAGAAAGAGAGCAATCTGGAGTCTTTTCTTATAAGGGATCAGCCCTATTAGAGAGGGCCCCTCCCCTATGACTTCATTTAACCTTTTTCCCCTCCTCACAGGCTTTATCTTCAAGTACACTCACATATGAATTTTGGGGGGGGGACGTAAACATT